TATCTTAGTGCTCACATAATAAATTGGCCTTGTTAATATTAGCTCCTGTCTCCTCTAATCCTAGTGCTCACATCAAACTGCCCAAATTGTCTGTGCCTGTCTCCTTTAATCTTGGTGCTCACATAACCAACTACCCAGCTTCCTCGATGATTAGGCCTAAATTATAATACTTTAAATGGTGGATGGTACATATGGAAAATTAAGGAATCCGAAATGTGTAGCAAATGTGGAGTTCCTGAAGATGAAAACAATTTGATTTTTAGTTGTTCGCATATACAAACATTTTGGAGGAAAGTAAGTAGTGTCTTAAGGTGTATTACAAATGACGATATATTATTTTAAAAACTTATTCTTTGAACTGGATGTGTATTAGAAGATTTAATATGTACATCTACAGCATTTACAATTTATAAAGAGAAAATTTTGTCAGAGTTAAATAAAACAGGTTTTAAATCACCGTGGAGCTCCTTTAAGTGCGATATCTTATTGAAAATTAAAATTGAGAAGTATAATGACAAATTGAGAGAATGATGAAAGAAAATGGGGAAAAATACAAAATACTATTGTAATAACATAAGAAAATGTAATAATGAACATTGGTCATATATATATTGGTATATTTTGTAGAAATGACACTAGTAAAACCATTTATTACAAAGTACCAAATATGTGTAACTTTATAGAAAATAAATTCATTCTGGATTCAGTGAATTATTTGTGAATTTTCTTTCCTTTAGTTAATCCAGTGTCAATTTTTTATAAGTAAATGTTATGTTTACTTACAATCATCAATTATAGGCCTAATTAAAGGCTCTAAGCATAATAAATAAATAAATAAATAAATAAAAAAAAATAAAAAAAATAATGTATTTTGTATTTGTAGTACAAATGTTTTCTCTTCTAAAAAATACTAAGGTAAATGGTGTAAACATTAAATTAGGATATAGTAATTGAAAGGAATTATGTACAATGAAAATGAATATATATATATATATATATATATATATATATGTATGTGTATATTATGTATGTGTGTGTGTGTGTCGGTGGGTGTGTGTGTGTATATATGTGTGCATGTACATAATGTATATATATATATATATATATATATATATTTAAAAAGTAAGTGGAAGAGATTAAACTTTGAAAAAACAAGAATTTTCAAAAAAGATTTATATGTTACAGAGGGGAAGGATGAAAAAAATATATAATCCCATGAAGGCAATGATTAAAATCAAATGCTTGATAGAATTGATCTAATTAATTTTATCAGTCATTTTAATTGTATATAAGCATGAGTACTATGTCAAATTTGTAAGATACGGTTCATGTATATAAATAAGAATTGTGTATTGCATTGGAGAACGTATTATTGATATATTTACATGTAATGACAATAAAGGTGGGAAACACCCACGAAAGACAAAAAAGAAATGGTGGATAGTATAATACGAATGTAGGTAAGAATGGCCGGGAAAAATGGCTCCGGAAAAAATGGCCCCGGTAAAAATGGCCCCGGTAAAAATGGCCCCAGTAAAAATAGCACCAAATGACAATTAGATAAAAATGGCCCCAATGAAAAAAATCAGTAATAGAAATTATATTTTTTTTTTAAATCTTCAAATATTTAAATACTGTAATAAGCAAGAATTGAATCAATAACAAATACAGTTACACAACAGATGCAAATAATGTACTGAGAGATTATCAGAAAACAATTTGAATCACAAGTTCATGTATGGGAAAAGGGGGGCTTACTTTACTTCAACAAATGTTCTGCTTAGAGTTACTTCAAAGAAGTATTTGTTAATCAAAATAAACAGTATTTAAAGCATGTGGATCAATTGTATGTTTGAATGACAAATTCATGTATGGGAAAAGGGAGGCTTACTTTACTTCAACAAATGTTTTACTTAGAGTTACTTCAAAGAAGTATTTGTTAATCAATTGATAATTAGGAATACATTTATTTAAGCAACTTATTTAATTGCATGCTTGGTTTCTACTCCCCACCAAGTAAATTTAAGTGCCTAAAACTATACTAAATAATGTAAACTGAGATA